AACTGAGGTTGAGGGCTGAGTGAGTGAGTTTAGTTTTACGCCGCACTCAGCAATATTCCAGCTATATGGCGGCGGTCTGTAAATAATCGAGCTTGGACCTATCCCATGATCAACAGCATGAGCATCTATCTACACAACTGGGAACTCATGACATGTATCAACCAAGTCAGCGAGCCTGACCACCCGATCCCGTTAGTCGCCTCTTACGACAAGCATGTGGGGGCTGACTGAAAACTGTGAATAGCTCCATCCTCCAAGCAAATTGTGTGACAGTGCATCTGACTGAGTCAGAGATGTGTGCCTCTTTAATTAATAAACCCAATACAGCAGAAAACAATTATATTGGACATTGACAAAGGTATAACAGCTACCTACTGCACCAGGCAGGGTAACAACCGGTACCATTATTTGTCCTTTGGTCTGGCAAGGATCACAGTACCAAGCTCTTGCCCCTAAGGCAGAGGCTCTTCCAAACAACTCCATGCAGGTGATTAGCAAGTTGCCTTCACAATATTCCAGCAATATCACGGCGGGAGAGCCATTCAAACCCAGGCCTTCGACATGATGAGCAAACGCCTCCATCTTCCCCTTACAACATCTAGATGCGGACTGGATATTTTCACCCGACCCAGCACCATTGTCCTCACTGAATCAAGCTGTCAATACCATATTCACTGTAATAAGTGACCTTAGAAAATTGACAAAGGGGGCTGCTTTATAAAACAATTCAAAGTCATATTTGTTCACTGTAGTAAACAAACTTTGTTCAGTGAAACCAAATTTCAATGTCAATAGTTAATAAATGTGTATCCTTTCTACACTGCTGATTTCCGTAAAAAATCTGCACTGCCTACAAGAAAACACTGAATATTATGTAAGTTGTTGGTCTTTATAGTGAGTGAGTGAGTGAGTGAGTTCACTTTTACGCCGCTTTTAACCATATTCCAGCCATATCATGGCGGGGGACACAGAAATGGGCTTCACACATTGTACCCATGTGGGGAATCGAACCCGGGTGTTCGGCATGACGAGCGAACACTTTAACCACTAGACTACCCCACGGCCCTGGTCTTCATAGGGTGCTTACTCGTAAGGTGTACTTGTAGAAGTTGGTCAGGGGATGAGTATCGGAGCGTGGTGCTTAATACAGTGAATATGGTATCTTGAAAGCCTGGGGCTCAAGAATTAAAACAACAAAGAAAGTGAAGTTAAAATGATATAGAGGTGTTATTTGTGCATAGATCATAATTGAGCAACAAAGGGACAAACAAAAGGAATACAAGGAATGTAACAAAGATGGTAATGTTCTGAATTTGAGGTGAAACAATAACTACTTCATCCCATATCACATGAAACAAGGAGCATGTAATACAATGTAATAAACGGAATTCAATGATAACAGAGAATAATGAAATTAATCATAAATATATTTTTTCATTAATTTATCTCAAAGTACCAGCTTATTTATATCATATACTATATTACATAATAAGCAATATATGCATACCTGAATAAAGTTATAAACATGTCTGTGTATACAGAGAATCAGAATTTGAAATATTAACTAATCAATGTATTGCAAAGAGGTCAGGGTTCACAATCAGCCAATCAAATGTTTTGAATAACTGAAAAGTGCACACAGTGCACATTGTGCAAACATAAGAAATAAGTGCATTGATATGTATTTCCCCTGGGGTAAAAAAAGAGTTATGTCCTGAATACAAGGAATGTTTATACAGGACAAAACCAAACCATGACAGGAATGTTGGTATATCACAAAGTCCTTTACATGTCGGGAAGGGGCATGTATATGAATTAACAAGATAACAGTTCTCACTCTTCCTACAAAATAAACACCCTGTGATCACTGGAAACTAAAGGTTAACCTACAAAATAAACATCTCTCTGATCATTGGAAACTAAAGGTTAACCTACAAAATATACAATCCTGTGATCCTTGGAAGCAAATTGAAGATGTGAGAAAACTAAGTGGCTGAAACTGATTAATTAAGTGACTGAGTATGCCAGATAACGCCATTACGGTAATTTATATAAAGTGCCGCTGGTATAGTTTGGACGATGAAATCCATCTGCCGTAATGTTGTCAGCAACAGCAGGACCACTTTTATCGTCTGTTTTGAGGAAATTGTCTGTCAATATTATACTCATGTATACGGTACCAGTACTAGTTTTAAATTGTTACACAAACACACGTGAGGTCGAATACCAGTAATTCATTTTAGTTGGCTTGTGGGCCCAACCAACAAAAAACGCAACTGATGTTAGGAAAAGAACATCCTAATTTTTGACAGTATTTTGTGAATGATTTTAATACATGTGTCAAAAAAGATGCCATTTTGTCTGAGTTTGAAGAAAGTATTTGAATTCAATTCAATTACGCAACTCAGCAATGAAGATTTCTTCTTCTTACGATAAACATTTTCAAAGAGAAATTCAAAAGTTGTAAAATTCTATCCGACTGGAATGAAACAAACACAACCTTGCTGACCCTTGATTCAAGTTGATATTTCAAACATTCACTATAATACATCCCAAAAATCGGTTTGTGAAATCTGTAGCAAAATACTACAGTGAATAATATGAGTCAACACAAATCAATGTTAGACATTGAGTGAGTGAGTTTAGTTTTATGCCGCTTGTAGCAATATTCCAGCAATATCACATCCAGGGACGCCAGTAATGGTCTCCACACATCGTACCCACGTGGGTAATCCAACCCAGGTTTTTGGCGTGACCAGTGAACGCTTTAACCACTTGGCTACACCACACACCCTAGACATTAAGCATCAAAGTAAAGGGCTCCCTGGCATAAGCTTAGTACAGAAACAAAATAAAGACTCCTTTGATTCAAGGATTCAAGGACCCCACTATGGAAGTTTTTAAACTGACTTCGGGCCAGACCAATTTTACTTCTTGTTTTTCAGATTTTTGTTCTCAGAAAACCTAAAGGCAGGAGGGAAAAATATAGTCACTAGTCAAAATAATTTTCCTTTTAAATACTAAAAGTATTTTATAGTTGATGTTTATATGGGACTAAAAACAATCAAAAAAAATTTTGGCCACTAAAAACATGAGAATTTTATTTTTTCAGCAGGGAAAATTAATTTTCATTTTTTTTCTTATTCTTGCAAAAATACAACTGGCGGATCCGTTAAACAAGAAATAAAATTGGTCTGGCCTTGTTAAATATTTCAACATTCACATCATCACTCACAATTACACTGTAGGCTGACCCACATAAAACCTCCACATAAAGCTTCTCAATCTTATGAAAATATGTAAATGACACAAAATTCTAACTATTAACATACACACCTGTTTTTATCCAATATGTACACACATTAACACTCTCCAGAAAATATCACAGTTGTATTTCTGTGTGATTTAAACAGATAAACTTTGCCATTTCAGTCGAGTACCCTCAACACGACATTGAAAATGTGTGTTTTGTTTATAGAGCTACAGATAACTTTTTGGGTCATTGAGTTATGTACTCGCTTATCTTCATCTCAATTGGGTATCCTAATTTTCCTTTGTGTAACCAAATATTTTGTACTCACCGCACTCAAAGTCAATGGGGTATTTTGCCATTTTCCATAAATTTGAACATATAGTAAAGTCTAAATGTGAATGTTTGTTATTTACATTTGATCTGTAATATGAGAAACGATAAGAAAGACTGCAAGTTGTCAAGTTCATGTCCTGAAATAGAACCTCTCAGTATACTTTAGTTATTTTATCTATCCACCGGTACGCAAGCTAAGATTTGACATTTTTGTGCGTACGCATGTAAGATCACATTTATTGAGTATTTACAAAAATGTAAGCGTACTGGTAAGCAAGAGACTGAATAGAAATTGAGTTTTCACATAAATATTTAAATAGATACACAACTTATCTGTACCTCTGGGTTTATCCAAGATGTTGAGGTCTTTACATTAGGGCTACGAACGTTTCGAGAACAGCTAGCCAGGTATAGTGCTGACAAACCACGAAACATAATTAGAGAGAACCAGAACTTGAAGAGAGGATCACAAGTTTCTGAGTGCCCAAGGGAGACAACTCTGCACACTGAGCTGTAGCACCTCTGACAATTGGACCACCAATGTACTCTGTGTATTAAAATGAGTAAGTTTATTTTTACGCTCTCAGCAATATTCCAGCTATATGACTGTAAATAATTGAGCCTGGACCAGAAAATCCAGTTATCAACAGCATGAGCATCGATCTATAAAAATGAAGACATGCAAGATATATACAGAAGCGTAACCTAAATTCGTGGATAACCTTGATTCGTGGATCCCGAAAATTATCATGCTAACTCGTAAATTAAGTCTCGACTGACGTCATGAAGTGGTACTTTTGATGTACATACAATGCCACGCCTCGCTGACAAAAAAGTTCCGAATCTCTGCATTACACGCAAGTACACTAAATATAATTGTCCAGCATTGAGATAAATAGCCCCAAATCACTAATACCACCATTACCAAATTTTATTTTTACAAAATGTCAAGTAAAAAAGATACCGTTAGCTCCAACATTCTCACTTCTCGTTGTCTGCTTTCCTTGGTGTCAATACTTACTGCAGTGGGATCTCGTACATAGTGGTACAAAGTAACCGACTACGTAATCCACAAAACAAGGTGACGTTACATTTTGTGGGCACACGAATGGGTGATGATTGCAAATGGCTTCGTAAACAAACGCTTCATTCACGAGTGGAAAATTGGGCATTTTTAATTTGCTGAATCAATAAATAAAATAATCAGTGCATATACAAAATGAAATCATGCATTTATAATATGAATTTTGCCGTATTTCCCCTATATCCACGAATCAAGGTTACGCGAGTGTACAAATCACGAATGCTATCTCCCATTCAATCTTAGCAAAACAAATTTTTACTAATAGCTGCATCATTTCATCTATCACAGCCTGATCCTGATCTAGCAAATCTCAAAACACAACATTCTTAATTTCATATGTTCATGATTATTTTATCATACTCATCAACTGACAACACAATGAACCCATTCTTGCCACAGTCTCATCAACACAGTCAACTACTTTCCCCATTTTGAAACACAGATGAAGCAAACAGTTGTCACATGATTGCAGTCTGATTATGTCTGGTACATTAATTTTCTGATCACTGTACTATAACCATCACATTAAACGCCTCAGTCCTACACATGTATGTCAAGCCAGGCATACCACTCACCTATGTAAGGTAGAACACATGGCATAGTGTATACAGAACACAACGGTGTTGCCCATCTAACACAATGGCTCACAGCTTGGTTGGCCTCACAGTGTTCCTGCAGACAGTACCTTCATATCCTGACAAAGGTCTCTCGTGCATGTTGTCTCCATCTTATAATACTTGACTCTGGATCACGTTCTCAAACTTGCTCTCTTCAACACATAATACTTGACTCTGGTTATGCTCCTGTACTTATTTATGCTTGTGCTCCTGCCTCTAGTCCAGATCTTCATCCTCTTCATCTGTGTCAGTCAGCAGCGGGATCTTGGCACCGTTGGGGGGCGTGGCATACCGCACCATCCCGTGGAGGCTGGTCAGGGGCAGCAGCTGCTTCTGTTTGCGTTTGAGGTAGCGGTGTTGACGGCACGCCGCCACCATGAAGACGCCCGCGATCAGCGCTATTAGGATGAGGATGAGGATATCTGTAACACAAGCCAGCAGATAAACAGCCTGTGACTGTATGAGTGCAAGATATTGCCTGTGACTGTATGAGTGCAAGATATTGCCTGTGACTGTATGAGTGCAAGATATTGCCTGTGACTGTATGAGTGCAAGATATTGCCTGTGACTGTATGAGTGCAAGATATTGCCTGTGAATGTATGAGTGCAAGATATTGCCTGCCTGTGAAGATGTATGTGAATGTAGTGCAAGATATTGCCTGTGACTGTATGAGTGCAAGATATTGCCTGTGACCATATAAGTGCAAGATATTGCCTGTGAATGTATGAGTGCAAGATATTGCCTGTGACTGTGTGAGTGCAAGATATTGCCTGTGACTCTACAAGAGCCTGCAAGATATATGCCTGTGACTATTGTATATGAGTGGAAGATATTGCCTGTGAATGTATGAGTGGAAGATATTGCCTGTGACTGTATGAGTGGAAGATATTGCCTGTGACTGTATGAGTGCAAGATATTGCCTGTGACTGTATGAGTGGAAGATATATAGCCTGTGACTGTATGCCTGTGCAAGATATTGCCTGTGACTGTATGAGTGCAAGATATTGCCTGTGACTGTATGAGTGCAAGATATCACCTGTGACTGTATGAGTGCACAATATCACCTGCCTGCAATGAGTGCAAGATATCGCCTGTGAATTTATGAGTGCAAGATATCACTTGTGAATGTATGAGTGCACGATATCACCTGCCTGTAATGAGTGCAAGATATTGCCTGTGACTGTATGAGTGCAAGATATTGCCTGTGACTGTATGAGTGCAAGATATTGCCTGTGACTGTATGAGTGCAAGATATCGCCTGTGAATTTATGAGTGCAAGATATTGCCTGTGAATGTTTGAGTGGAAGATATTGCCTGTGACTGTATGAGTGCAAGATATTGCCTGTGACTGTATGAGAGGAAGATATTGCCTGTGAATGTATGAGTGGAAGATATTGCCTGTGACTGTATGAGTGCAAGATATTGCCTGTGAATGCATGAGTGCAAGATATTGCCTGTGACTGTATGAGTGCAAGATATTGCCTGTGAATGTTTGAGTGCAAGATATTGCCTGTGAATGTTTGAGTGCAAGATATTGCCTGTGACTGTATGAGTGCAAGATATTGCCTGTGAATGTATGAGTGCAAGATATTGCCTGTGAATGTATGAGTGCAAGATATTGCCTGTGAATGTATGAGTGCAAGATATTGCCTATGACTGTATGAGTGCAAGATATTGCCTGTGAATGTATGAGTGCAAGATATTGCCTATGACTGTATGAGTGCAAGATATTGCCTGTGAATGTATGAGTGCAAGATATTGCCTGTGAATGTATGAGTGCAAGATATTGCCTGTGAATGTATGAGTGCAAGATATTGCCTGTGACTATATGAGTGCAAGATATCGCCTGTGACCATATAAGTGCAAGATATTGCCTGTGAATGTATGAGTGCAAGATATTGCCTGTGACTGTGTGAGTGCAAGATATCGCCTGTGACTCTACAAGTGCAAGATATATGCCTGTGACTATATAAGTGCAAGATATTGCCTGTGAATGTATGAGTGCAAGATATTGTCTGTGACTGTATGAGTGCAAGATATCGCCTGTGACTGTATGAGTGCAAGATATCACCTGTGACTGTATGTGTGCACAATATCACCTGCCTGCAATGAGTGCAAGATATCGCCTGTGAATTTATGAGTGCAAGATATCACCTGTGCATGTGAGTGCACAATATCACCTGCCTGTAATGAGAGCAAGATATTGCCTGTGAATGTATGAGTGCAAGATATCACTTGTGAATGTATGAGTGCACGATATCACCTGCCTGTAATGAGTGCAAGATATTGCCTGTGAATGTATGAGTGCAAGATATCACTTGTGAATGTATGAGTGCACGATATCACCTGCCTGTAATGAGTGCAAGATATTGCCTGTGAATTTATGAGTGCAAGATATCACCTGTGAATGTATGAGTATGATTTAGCTTCTGAATGTATAAGTGCAAAATATCGCCTGTGAATGTATGGGTACATGATATCGCCTGTGGATGTATGGGTACATGATATCGCCTGTGAATGTATGGGTACATGATATCGCCTGTCAATGCATGATTTACCCTGCACTTGCATATCCTTCAAGATTTACCCTTGACCTCACAATTTTGTCAATGAGAGCACTATTTGGCCTGTATACATGACATGCCTGTGATTAGGACAGAATTAGCCTGTGATTAGGACAGAATTAGCATGAGAAAGTCTTAATATCACATGGGATTCATTTAAAATGAAAAATATGCCAAACAATTTTCACCAATATTGATATCTGCCATACCTAATATTATCAACCACTGTGTAACATCACAGAGAAAATGTGAGCTGTTATCATGTAATAAGTGTGTGTCTACTAAGGAATTGTGAGTATCAGCAATTTGCATCCCTTCAGCTGATACAGGCAGTCATATTTGGTAAAGACCAACATAAATAATGTGGTAACCATAGTAACCATTTCTCAAGTTGACAAATTGACAAGAAAACATAAAACAGATACACTTACAAGTTCCAAATGTTGTGGCAGTATAATCATCATGTTCAGCTGCCATCTTTAACAAGGGGAGACAATTCTGTAAGCTACCATTATTTGGTGCCGGCTCAATACCAAGGAGGTGACACATGAGGGGATACACATCAACATTGTTCAAGATGTCCACGCTGGCGCCGGCCTTGAAGGATGGTCCCATTGCCAGAAAGAATGGATGCATGTCTTGGAGAGAGTTGTCCCAGCCATGGTTTCCCACTGTGGACATAGAAGAACTAATCAATGGTTTGTTTGTGTGACAGTCAGTATTCCATATTCCACAGGGGTCTGGACCAGACAATCCAGTGATTGACATCATAAGCATCAATCTACATAATTTGGATATTACGACACAAATCAACCAAGTCAGCTTGTCTCATACCCAGATCTCATAAATCCCCTCTTACAGCAAGCATGTTGCTGAAGACCAATTCTAACCCAGATCCTTATACAGACAAAGCCATGGTAATTTATACAGACAATTCTGTCAATACCACGTCAAATTTAGTCACACAAAAAACATTCTTCCAAACTATATTTTTTACTTATTTCCTGTATAATCTCATTAAGTTGTCCAGGTAACACAGACTCTAAGTAAATAAGATTAGAGACCATTAAACTTAACCCCCTGGATGCCACAGGGACATATATGTCCTTCCCCTTCAACCCTCAATTTGAAGTCCAATAAAAATCAAAGTATCCCACGCACACAAATACACTTCACAGTTTCGAATTCTGCGGGAAATTTCCTGTTTTTGATACCATCCACATTTATTTTAGACAAAGCTCAAGTGCTGAAAATGACCTTACAAAATAGGCTTCATCGAAAATGGCGACATTTTTGACACAGTATGAAATCGCGATTCACAGCGTTATTTGCTGTATGTTTTGAAATGTGAAAATCGGATAATTACTGTGAGTATTGAATTTCAAAAATAACATATTTATGATCACTGATATCAGTTTTACATGATTTAAGCTAATTATAATTCTGAAGCGTTGCCGATGAATCTAGAATCGGTTGGGATGTTTTCGAAAATGCACTTACACGAACACCGTGAGAGCTTTCCGCCATACTGGATAGTGTTTACAAAATCAAGTTCGCGAAGGCCGGTATTGAGACTTCTATTACATCAATGTATTTCATAATCAGCTTCAAAAAATGCATCACTGAATTCCCCATACATTTTAGAATCAAATTGCAAATGGTCTGTTTCACCAATAATAACTGTCTAGATAAAATGAGACGAAACATATTGGGTGTGAAAATGAACGCTGTGCTTGAAAGACTGCGTTAGTCTGAAATGTAAACAAAGACAAATTCGATTTTACACTGCGTAGCATTTTCTGAAATTTTTCAACATTCATCCGTCTATTCATTACTTGCAATCGCTCAATACCTTTAGAATATACATGGAAAGAGTATCGTAGCAAGAAATAGGAAATTATAAATAGATACAATGCAATGATTTGATAATTCATAAGAAATTGTCAAAGTTTCCGTGCAGCGATGATGCCATGACTGACGCCAAATCACTCGAGCGACAACGGTAATTATCTGCATTTCTGTCCTTTTCTCTTACATTATAGTGAAAACGATAAAACATATAACAATACACAGATAGTCAGAATCATTCTGATTACTTACATCTCATATTTATGTACAAACGATCCCTAAATCAGTGGAAGGGTCCTCACAAAATCCTGTGTACCCTTGTCAGCAAAGCCGCCATTTTGTAAGAAATCGGTCAGCGGTAGTGATGTCATACGTCAACATTGTTGTACATATTAGGCAATTTCTTTGAGGTGAAGGTCGGTTGAACAAGAGTAAACACAATCGCCATATCCTTCCGATTACACTGTCAGTATTATGATGTATATTTCGGATACTTTTTCATGAAACTGACTTCAGTATCTACATTTAGCCTTGTTCAATATCATATCATACAGGCATATAGGGTTTACGGTGTTTTATTCTTTGAAAGTTTTCGATTGTTTGAATCATATTTACATAAGAAATTGACATATTTATAAACCTTTACACAAGTGTTAGAAGATCAAACGTAGCCATAACTGCAATTACTTTAGTTCTTATGATGTACAATATTCAATTTATTTGGACTAATATTGCAATTTCATATGAACAGGTTAATGAACGGTGATATAATTCAACCTTATATGCAAAACTGATAATATTAATGACAATGATTTATATATGGTATGAAATGTACATGCACACATATTTAAAGGAATTGTCTTGTTCATTGCATAATTGTGTGTCGTTTTATAGACAAAAGAATGATTCATATAGATCGGCAAGGTGCGCGTTTGTTTGCAACGTTTAATGATTCTCTATCATTGTTTTCGATAATATATTCAATTCATATTCGATTAAATAATATTGTGATGACAGGATATCAAACTCTAACTACTTATAGGAAAATTGTTGAAAAATATATATACCATCTCATGTGTTAATTTGCACAAATCTTATATCCATATTCTAATATATAGTTCCATATATAAAAAGCTATCTTTATGCATCTTTCATTGCATACGTATGAAGAGAAATAGGTTCATAATCATAAACAAACAAAATTCTTATCCCAAACAAAATGTTCGGGTGTTGTGAAATATTATTTTTATTTACGTTAAATTGATGCCAAACAGGTGCGCGCTGTTTGGTCACAATAAGATACGCTGTCAAACTGTCTAATTGTTGATATATTCAGGACACTATTTAAAAGAAAATCATTCATTTTATGTTTTGTCTAAAGGGTGTTAAATTCTGACATAGAAGTCTAGACCTTTTATACAATTAATGGAAATTAAGTGAGATATATACTAATCAGAATACCAATGTCGTTGTTTTCCAACGTCGCAAAATGCACAAAACAAGCGATGACGTCAACTAAAATGTTGTATTATTTTCAGCAATTTCGTTACATTTGAAGATATGGCTAGTATTCTGGTAATAAAGATGCAAAATTAGTCAAATTACATCTACACAAACAGGAGAATATGGGAATCTAAGAACTAATTTATATATCGGATAGGGCCATTCAAATCGCTATTACGTGCTTTCACATGTAATACGTTGTCATCTTTTCTTATAAATTGTGAAACTACCAAAGCGCATCCGTTCACATTGGGGAACTTTGAATTGGAATAGTGAGGTTCACCATGAATATAAAATAACGAAAATATTAAGCGTCCGTATCCACAACACATTTTAAGCCAAGTGATCTGAGTTACATTGACCTAGTGTTACGCATAACGGAGTTATGCCCCCTTATAATTACATCGTGTATGACCTCTCTGTCGCCGCTTTGACGTCATAGAAGAAAATACATTTTGACATTTATTGCGAGTCATTTTAATGTTGAGTATAACGCTTATGCACAAGCAGATAAACCCAATTCATATACACTTATGTCGTTCAGATATCAGGCTGTATTTTCTTCGCTCACACTTTCCGTAAACATGCCCCATTAAAAAATTCGTAGCACAGTGCTTTTATCGGTGCGGGATAAAAAGCGGAAAAATTTACTGTTTTTTAACGCATAACAAAAATTTGGACAACATTTAGCAAGGTCTATTTCTCAAACCGCCGAGGTAGTTCACTTATATTTATACCAACGGATAGGAAATTTAATATTCTACATTTCTGTGTAATTTTATAGCCTTACGTAGATCCAGGACCACGCGAGAGCAATTCTCGCACAGCGTTCACTTTTCAAAGCGTATGAAAATGTGCGCCTGAAAAAAAACTCGGCAGCCAGGGGGTTAACAACCACTAAAAGATGTTGCAATGTTTCATGGATGTACCTGGGATTCCAGACAAAGTGCATTTGGTAGGCAAAATATGGATTTCTGTTAACCTTATTTTTTCAAAAACTCAGAGGTATTTAAATGCTACATTCAATGCAATCAGGTCAAACTAAGTATTACATTTCCTTCTGACCTGTTATAGCAGAAAGTTATCTTACAAAGCCACAAAAAAATAATATATTATCAGAGTTAAAAAAAATTATGAATGTGATGGTGATTCATAAAAACATGTCATCCTGCATCACTGTACAATGGACATTGTACTGTGTTCTATGATAATGGAAGTAGTTGGCCCCTCAGGATATCTGATCTTTCATCATGTTCACCCTTCGAATCTAACTCCAGTCAAACACTGTTGAGTCAAACTTTAATGGGTTGTCCTTATTTAGTCATCATTTTCTGGTTGTGTCAAACCTCATAACTCGAAGTATTTACATATGTCCTTCCTACTTTGACACATGGATGTTTGACTACAACAATTCAGGCTCAAATCAGCGTCTACTTCCTGGTAGATGATGCTTGGAGATATTATATTTTTTAAGTTAATGTGTGGGGGATATAGTCTAAGAACACTGTCAAGTCACAGTCAGACACCATATAGTTTCAGGACACTGTCAAGTCACATAGTCAGACACCATATAGTTTCAGGACACTGTCAAGTCACAGTCAGACACCATATAGTTTCAGGACACTGTCAAGTCACAGTCAGACACCACATAGTCTCAGGACACTGTGAGTTCATAGTCAGACACCATATAGTTTCAGGGAACTGTCAGCTCATAGTCAGACAACATATAGTCTCAGGACACTGTCAGCTCATAGTCAGACAAAAAATAGTCTCGGGGCACTGTCAGCTCATAGTCAGACAACAAAGTTTCAGGGCACTGTCAGGTCACATAGTCAGACAACATAGTATCATGGCACTGCCAGGTCATGGTCAGACAACATAGTCTCGGGGCACTGTCAGCTCATAATCAGACAACAAAGTTTCAGGGTACTGTCAGGTCACATAGTCAGCCAACATAGTATCAGTATTGTATGTGTCATTATGTAACGAATGTTATGATGGAAGACTTTATTTTTTCATGAAAATAAAAAACAAACAAACAAAAAAAAAAAAAAAAAACCATAGTATCAGGGCACTGCCAGGTCATAGTCAGACAACATATAGTCTCGGGGCACTGTCAGCTCATAGTCAGACAACATATAGTCTCAGGGCACTGTCAGGTCACATAGTCAGACAACATAGTCTTAGGGCAATGCCAGGTCATAGTCAGACAACGTATAGACTCAGGACACTGTCAGGTCAGTCAGACAACATAGTCTCAGGGCACTGCCAGGTCATAGTCAGACAACGTATAGTCTCAGGACACTGTCAGCTCATAGTC